CCTCTGACCCCCTCCCTCCTCCCCAAGTCTGGTCCTGCTCAGCCGTCTCCTCAGCGTGAGAAATCTCTTCTCAGACACAGATGATCTCTGCCACCTGCGAGCCTACGTTGCCGATGTACTGAGTGCTGCCCCCCAGCATGCCAAGAGCCGTTGCCAAGGGCACTGGAGTGAGGGGCGCCCAGCGGCCAGGGGGGACGGACGCCTGCTCACAGGGCAGCAGTTAGCTCAGGAAATCAAGGTGTGAAAACTTCCCACAGACCCAGGACAGCCCGCTGGCCCCTGCTCCCCCTGATCCCTCCGGTGGTGTTTCCGCAGAATCTCTCGGGCTGGATGGGGAGGACAGGGCCCAGCTTTGCGTCTCCGGATGAGGTACAGAGCTCCCCGGGAGGACCAGGGGGCTGGGAGGGAGGTGAGCTGGTGCACCCTGGGACCCGGGGAGAAAGGAGGGAGGCAGCCTGGGTTTTCCTATGGACAGATGGCTGCCCAGCTGCACGACCTGAAGGTGGTGGAAGCTGCCAAGAAGGAGTTTAAGGAGTATGTGCGACAGCAGGTGAGTCCCCCAGGTCTGCATGGGGGCCGGGCACCCGGCCAGGTGGGGCCCACAGTGGGAGAGGGCTCTCGAGTCTCCTGGTCAGGGCACCCTCTTTCTCCTCCCGCACAGGACGTGGCCACCAAGCGCATATTCTCTGCTCTGCGGGTCCTGCCAGACACGATGCGGAACCTCCTCTCTGCCCAGAAAGATGCCACCCTGGCTCGCCATGGAGCGGCCTTGCTGTGCCAGGGGAGAGAGCAGATCTTGGAGGCTCTGGAGGCCGAGCTGCAGGCTGAGGCCAAGGCCTTCATGGACACCTACACCATGCGCTTCTGCGGCCACCTGGCGGCCATGGGGGGCGCCGTGGGGGCCGGGCTCATGGGCCTGGCGGGGGGCGTGGTGGGCGCAGGCGTGGCCGCAGCAGCGCTGGCTGCAGAGGCTGGGATGGTAGCCGCTGGAGCTGCGGTGGGGGCCACAGGTGCTGCTGTGGTCGGGGGTGGCGTGGGTGCTGGCTTGGCTGCCACCATGGGCTGCATGGAGAAGGAGGATGGGAGGGTGCGGGAAGGGGACCGAGAGCCCCTGCTCCAGGAAGAGTGACAGCCCCAGGGGGCAGTAAAAGGAGGGAGAGATGCAAGGTGGGAGGGAAAGAAGTGTTCCAGGGACCCCCATGTAACACTGCCCTGGCTGAATGCCCAGCGGCTGGCTGGCTGGCTGGGCTGAGGATCCAGGTGGCCCCAGGCACCTGGGGAGGGTTCCCCGGGCCAGGAGGCAGTGTTGGGGTGGTAAATAGAACATAGGGCCTGTTTTTGGTTGCAGACAATTGCTAACTTGCTATTGACCCAAATAAACTTGACCACAGTGTCTTCGCCCACTTATGAGGCTCCACCCTCCCTGCCCTGGTTTATTTCCCCCACGTTAGGAACACCGAGCCATCCGAAGTCTCCCCAGGTGGCCATCCTTCCACAGGTGGGAGCAGCCGCAGGTTGAGTGGCCTTGGTGTTCAGGGTTGGGGAGCACTAATGAGGGGCAGGGGAAGAGAGAGAAGGGGGGCCACTGGACAAAACCAAAGACTCTGAATGTGGTGGGCAGTGGCCTGAGCCATGGAGTGGAGACACTTGTCCCTGGGACTCCTCCCAAAGCTGCCCCAGCTGGACAAAGGTGGTGTCCCTCCTCCTGGAGCCCCAGGGAATTTGCATTGGGCCTTGAACGGGGTCTCATGGCTGTGCCCTTTGCTGCACCTGGCCAGATGCAGAGTGCCTGTGGAATGCCACTCCAGCGATGGCTTAGATGCCAAAGAAAAACCACCTGTGATTGATTCCAAGCTGCACAGACAGCCCTGAGAACAGTGTGCAAGTCCTGCAAGCATTACCTGCAAGCATCACCGAGGGAGCCTTCTCTACCCTACATGCCCCCTCCCAGCCTGAGAGAAGACCCCTCGGCTCCATGTTAGCAGCAGGCCTGGGTGCAGCTCCCACAGGGAGCTTGAGGGCCCAGGGCCTCTCTCCCCAGGGGGTCAGGAAGGTCCTAGTAGGAAGACTTCTAGGCCATTGAACTGTAAAGAGTTAATGCACATAATACAAAAAATAAAATGTGTGTGCTTGACTGTTAGCTTCCCAGTAAATTACTGAAACAGTTCTTGAGTTCAGTGCCCAGACGGTTTGGGGCAGGAAGAGGTGAGCCAAAGCTCCATGATGGGGTGTCATGGACAGGAGAGGGAAAATGAAATTCAAGAGACATGGGAGCTGAGTGCCCGAGGCCTCCACGTGGGGGACTGCAGGAGGGCTCCGGCCAAAGGCCAGGTATGGCCCCCTTTGCAGGCTTGTCCACTAGGCCCTGGGTCTCTTCTGCTTCAGATGGCCCTGTGAACAGGTGGTCACCTGGCATCTGTCCCAGCAGGAGGAGAGAATGGAGGCGTACATGGGAAGTCCTCGCTAAAGCTATGGAGAGAGGAGGGGCCCAGGACCACTTCATGGGGCCGAACAGCCGAGCGCTCACCTGTGGCTCCTCCTGACCCTGACCTCCAGCTCGGAATTGCAGCAGGTCATGGTATCCAACCCTGCCTTTTACACATGCAGACACAGAGAGGGAGGCCCAGCTAAGGCTCCCCCACTGGCAGACAGCGAAGGCCGGGGAGTCCCGGACTCCTGATCCCCCACTAGTGTTCCTCCACAGGCGCGGGAAGGGATTTTGTTAGACTCGGCTGGGCTGAAACCGAGGTGCTCCTCTGTGGTGATTTCTTACCCCTGCCCCCCAATCCAGTCCAGCGCTAAGAAGCAGTGTTGGGGGACAGAGGCAGAAGGACCTGGTCTGGTACACATGGCTCAACAGTGGAAGTTGCAGTTAGTAAGCCCGGGACAAAATAATGACGCAGAGAAATCTCGAAGCCCGGGTGGAGGACAGGCTGAGGGTGACCGACTTCGGAGGACTGCGCCAGAGGTGGGGACACGTCCACACTTTGTGAAGTATTTGTTGAGAGCGGCTTCCTGAAAGCATCTGGTGGACACAAGAGCTACAAAACCCCCCAGACTTTGGGACTGGCAGGTTCAGGACTTGGTGGGGCCAGGCACTAGGAGGAGCCACCAAGGTGCTGTTGCTTAGCTAGAGTCTCACCCCGTGGCCCTGGGAGGAACTGCAGTGACCACTTCTCCCTGCTCTTTGGACATAAGGGGGCAGTTGGGGTAGTGGTCTGCAGAGGCTAGAGGAGTTGTGCTGAGTAGTATTTCTCTTGTGCCTTATAGCCTTCTTTTCTTCTTTTTTAATCCTCACATGAGTTCATTTTTTCCATTGAATTTTAGAGAGAGTGGAAGGGAGGGCGGGGGAGAGAGAGACATGGGTGTGAGAGAGACACAAGCCCGGACTGGGGCTGAGGATCCAACCTGCAACCCAGACACGTGCGCTTGACTGGGAATCAAACTCAGTCTTTTGCTGCACTGGCCAGCGCTCCACCCACTGGGCCACACAGGCCAGGGCGCGTCTGGAGAGTTAAAGAGTGGGAGTTCAGGGGAGGTCTTAAAGGAGGATCTTAATAAAATTCTCATCAGCCTTATGCAGATGCACCAAAGTGAGATTTATTCCCCTGACTTCATCTGTCCTTGGGTGTGTTGGCACTAACTGGATTTCTGCTGTCTCCCAGAGTCGGGTGATTTAAGTGACTTACCCTCTGGTTGAGAAGTAAACCATTTACTCTTTTTTTTTTTTTAAAGTCTTTATTGATTTCAGAGAGAGGGAGGGAGAGGGAGAGAGATAGAAACATCAATAATGAGAGAGTCATTGATCCGCTGCCTCCGGCACGCCCCCCACTGGGATGAACCCCATCAGGCATGTGCCCTGACCGGGAATCGAACCTCGATCTCCTGGATCCTAGGTCGATGCTCAACCGCCGAGCCACACCGGCCGGGCCCATTTACTCTTAAGTGACCCTGGTTAGAGAAGACAGGATTTTGCGATTCACTAGATGGCTGCAACCTGCTTGGCCGTTTAACTGTCTGTTTCAGTTTCTCTGTTGCACTTGTCCTGGCTAACTGGCCTGCCTCACCTCACCGAATCTGCTGGCTCCGCGATCTTGGATTCCAGATATTCAGAACCGTGAGAATAAATGTTTGTGTTTTTTAGCCACCCAGTAATGGTATTTTGTTATAGCAGCACCTTGACTGCGTGGAACAGGAGCCCCCTGACCTGCGTGAAACCACGTCGTGAGCAAGGAAGAAGGGTGCATGAGGCAGACCCTGCCTGTGGGAGAGGTGCGGGGATAGAGAGGAGGCCCTAGGTACAGAAGACACCCTGAGCTAGGGACAGGGTCGGACACCTTGGGGGCTTCAAAGGGCCACTGCAGGGTAACGGGAAGAGCAGGTGCTTAGTAAATACAAATTTGTCCTGCCCTGTAGATAGGTCAAAAGAAATGATCTCTGATAATCTCCCATTAGGGGCAAGGATTCTAACTCAAGTTCTTCTAGGTAGTCACGGGAGGAGCAGGACTTTCTCGTGAACCTGTGGCTAAAGTTGCCTTTAGCTCAGAACAATCTGCACACTGCAGAGGCAAAATTGGGGTGACTCATTCAAACCCCCACAGTGTCATATGTAGGCTTATTTATTACTACATTATAGCCCCCACCCCAACTAGCACAGAAATTTGATCCTTGAAATGGGTGATGCTCTAACAAAAGCCTGAAATATCTGTGGCGGGTGGAGGACACTAGGAAACATGCTGGGTCCATTTCAGCTGCTGACACAGCATTTGCTGGAACTGCTGCCTGCGATAACAGGGAGGGTGGACCCCTGTGCTGTGAAGGGGACATTTTTTTTTTTTAATTTCCTGTCAACCCAGAAAAATCTCCATAAATGTAGAAAAGAAATAGTTCTGGTATTGAATATGCATTAAACCAGACTGGGCTGTCACACGTGATCTGCGGTTTCAAAAATGAGATTACAAGGAGAGAAACGAAACCCCACCGTTTTCACACAGCCAGGCAGCCACACTGGCACGTGAATGTTCTCAGGTGTGAGGAGACGACTGGACAGCGTCATTCGCTATCTGTGCTTTCACAGTTCACCCTAAATTCACCTGGTGATTGGGTGGCCATCTGTGCTGGTAAAGACTCTTATTTGAAGGAAAATTAAACTTCTTGTATCTCTATGATGAGCAGGTAGTCAAAGTGTCTCAGTTAAATTCTCTTGGTGACAAGGAGATGGGCCTTGTCTTCCTTGACGTTGACAGTGAAGAGTTGACTCCAGGCCCTTCTGAGAAAAGTTCCTGGGTAAGAGGCTTATTTAACCTTTAAACAGATCTGCACATATATCAAAAGGACAGAGAAAGTACTTGCAAATACATGTTTTCTCCAGGAAACGTTCTAAGAAAAAAGGGGGGAGAAAAGCTCTCTTTCCCTTTTTGTAACAAGGACAATTTGAGCTTATCTTTATTTACCCTTACTGTCCCCCTTTTGTTACAGTGTCACACAGGGACTAGTTAGCTAATGGGAGCAAATGGGTGCGGGCGCTGAGCCTGATTCTCTAGGGAGCCACCGCACAGGCCCCCAGGACGGCCCCCTTCCCCGGCCTGTTCCCCAGGGGGGATAGAGGCAGGGACCGAATGGCAGGAGCGAGGCCTCTGCTGGGCACGTGCGCAGGAGGAGCCCAGCTGGGGCTGTGTGTGTGG